ATCTATCTATCTATCTATCTATCTATCTATCCATCTATCGATCTCTTGTCCTCTGTAATACAAGCTAAGTGACCACCTACTCTTGGGATTGAGGCAGACCTGCCTGATCAGCCTCATTCTTCGTATCCCCTAAGCCAGAGTCAAGTTTAGACAAGAAACAAAAAACTAAGTATCTGCTAGTGGTCTCAGTGATGCTTTCAGCCATGTGCTGCCCAGAGATGAGCCTTGACAATCATCCTATTCAGAGTGGCCATCCTTCACTGCATGGAGAGGCTGTCTGCCTGTTAGGTGCACCTGACAACACTCTAGACAATTATCCCAGCAGGTCAAGCAAGCAGAAGGCCTAGCGGGAAGCCCTAGCTGTATGGTAACAAGGCTATCTAGGCTTGACCACTGTACCCTGTGGGACCTGGGTACAAAGTAGTTTCAAGAGTGCTGACCCCATCTCTGACCACTGTGTCCTAGGCTAGGTAAGGCCTACTCACTTCCAAAGTGGAGCAATGTCCCAGCATTCCATCCAAAGTGGTACCCATTTTCCTCCAGCTTGCTGTCACTTTCCTGTTAGGAGACAAATATGGTTCTGATGAAACTCCCTAGAGTGAGGCCCCTTCACAAACACATAAACTAGACCAGCATTCAGTGGGGCTGTGTCTTTTCTGATAGTCAGGACACGGGGACAAATGAAGGCTGCAAATACAACAGCTGGGAAGGAGGGAGAGGAAGGAGAGGAAGGAGCTCCCTTCCCCTCATGTGGGGAAACATTTCACTAGGATCAGAAACCGAAAGGGTGGACAGGTTAATGAGTACTGCTAGCTATTCCACTGCAGACTGGTCCACAGGGTCTGAACATTCAAGGGTAGCTTGTACATGATATTGGCTCAAGTCCCCCTCAGAGAAGGATGCTGTGAAACACCAGCCCTGAAACATATTCCCTTGATAATGAGAATTTTCTGGAGGGAAACCTGTGGTAGTTGGCTTACCTCCTCCTGTGCTGGACACAGACCCTTCATGCTGGGGAAGTGGGCACACTGCCTTCTGGACTTCCTGCAGAGCTCCAACTTCTGCTGTCTCAGGCCACACCTGCAAGTCACCACCCTGTGTCTCCTGATGTAGAGAGATCATCATTTTAAAGAGGAAGGACATGTGAATGGGACTCTAGGGGAACTTGAAATATGCAGCACTTAAGCTAGACATACTGTGCAACCCTCTCCCCGTGGCTCCTTCCCTCTCTCTCCTTCATCCTCTCCAAATTCATCCCTTAGCCAATTCTTTCCTTCTGCCTCTGCAATCTCTGGTTCTCATCATCTGCTCTCCTCCAGCTCAACCATGACACTTTATTTAGAAGCGGGTTTGTATTGTGGCACTGGTGATTTTGAAGTCAGAGTTTTAAATTTGCATACCCACACAGTGAAAAAAGTTAATGTGCCAAATGCAAAGGACCGATGACAGTATCAAATACAAACTTAGTGTAGTAGAAACACATGGTCTATCAAATACAAAATTAGTATAGTAGAAACCCGAGGCCTGGAACCAGACCAGTGACTCTGTAATGAGCACTAGCAAGTGAAGACATGTGGACAGAGGGGTTTATAGTGTGACTCACTCTGTTTCACTTGGTCACTGCAGCTTCCACAAGGAAACCTTGAAGTCTCTCCCCTTTTTAAAATTTATCTTACTTTCCCTTTTAATCTCTTAAATTTTGTTTGGGCAGTTGTAGGAGTGGAGGGCAGGTGTGAAGAGATAGGATCATGAGTGTGATCAAGATATTGATATAAAAGACACACAATGAATATATAAATAAATAAATAACTCAGCAGAGAGATAAGTAAAT